CTAAATTATGATAATTAACAAAAAATCGTAAAGCCAGCCCTTATCATTCATATACTTATTAAGCTTTTTCTTAAACTCACTTAAATTTACTGCCTCTACAACATCCAAAGGCAACCCATTCAAAGGGCCAACCACCCTGTTAGAAAAAATCAAAATGTCTTAACTGAAGATGACATCTACCTTGCCAAAATTTATATTTGTATCCCATAGTCCTACTATTCTCTCTGTTAAATATGAAAAAAATTATGCATCAACACTATCAATTCCATTTACAATTTTAAACACCTCAATCAGATCTCCCCTAACTCTTCTTTTTTCAAGAGAAAACAATATGAGAGATTTCAGCTTCTCCTCTTATGACAACCCCCTCCATCCCAGGCACCATTCTAGTAACCCTTCTCTGAACGCTTTTAATAAATACCTACACAGCTCTCCTCTTGAGCCATTTTTCATATGCAAATAAAATCATATAATGGGATCCTACTCTGGGTGAACAATTAAAGTTTATAAATATGCTGTAATTCAAAAAGAAAGTTTTACAAATTAGTTATTCAAATATTACACTGGTGTATAGAGTAATAAAATAATGCTACTTTTTATAAATTTGTTCCATAATAATAATGTGAATGAATCAACACTCTAATTGAATCAGAAGAAAATTCCGAATATAGTAATTGGTGTTCAGTACTCAGTAACAGTTTAGAGGAACATGAATAATTTTTTCTTTTTATCTTTAGAACAGTCATGAAACAGGTTTGGAACATTCTGATCAGCAGTTCTAAATTATTGATCATTATACACGAACCTTGTGGGGGAGTCTTTGACTTTAAAATTTGTTACATATACTTATTATTTTACCTCTATTTTTCACAGTATAATCTTTGTCTTTTCAAGATGTTAGAATAAATACTTTGTCAGTCCACTGATTTTCTCTTAGTGCACACTTAAAAGTTGTCACAATTATGATCTTTAATTAATAAATCACTCAACTTAATTAGTAAAAGTTAAATATCATTTAATTCCTGTATACTTATTTTTAATTGAGGAGAGGTTATTAATTTTAAAGATTCCTTCTTCAAACATGAAAGTTTCACGTAGGAAAAGATATAACTGAATTACAAAATGAATTTTTCATGCAACGTTGTAAAAACAACAGATTTTGAAATATGAGATGTACTTTATCTCAGCCAGTGACTAGGTTTGCAACTATGTCATTATAGCTTAGATACAAGCTTTCTACAAGGAGCACAAGAATGGAGACAGAAGCTGTAAAACAAATTTTCATTTGACTCACAGGCAGTACTGCATAAAATTCAGAGTGGTTTGTCCTTAGATAGATGACGGAAAGAAAAACAGATGAATGGCAGGACCATCACTTTACTATATGTACCAGTTCTTGCAGCAGTCAGAATAAACAATCAGACAAGTTCACAAGAGAAGCCCCTATATCCAATCTAATATAACCCTGCAGGCAGAATATCAGCTTCCTCTGCACTAATAAAGTGAAGGTGATAACCAAGGAGGGTCTTCATCAACATTCAGATGATACGAGACTACTGGACAACATATTACAAGATGGTGTAGCTAGAGAAAACAAATGATAGGGAATTAATATGACACTGTACAGCTAGAAGACCATTGGTAAATAAGTCACTGTTCGATCTCTTGCAAGGTAGCCAGCCTTTGCACAGAAGTTGGTGCCTGTCAGCACAATCATTTGGATTTTCACTTAGTGCTCAACTCAAATATAGCCCAGCCTTATTTAGGTGAGATATTTTAAAGTGAAATTTACCCATCATGGCACAGCCCAAGTGTCTAGGTCATATATTTTGTGACTGTCTTATTGTGAGAATAATCCTGAAATAAATAATTTCATTAACAATAGTAGAATTAGAATCTATTTATGCTTAATTTTCTGCATTAGAAGTACATTGTTTAGATGTGAAAAGTAAAATATTGAACAATGATAGTAATTTAAATAGTTATGATAAAATAATTTATCCAATATACCATCTACTGTTGGCACTGCTCTTCTGTTTCCCGCTAAGTGCCTGTCTGGAGACTTGTGCACTGATGCAAGATTGATGTTCCTCACCTGTCTCTTGATCCCTTGTTTCTTGAACTCTATGAGCTTTTGAAGAGCTTCTGCCAATATTTTTTCGTTTCTTTGGTCCCATTTTTCCAATATACCATCTACTGTTCTCCTAACAGGAATGTTTCATATCCTTTTATTATAACCATTATAAACTCACAAATATTTAGATTCTCAATAATATGTAAGAATTTACAATATTTTACTACTAGTTTTGAAATTGATAAAAACTTTCTATTTAATAGGTTTTAAAAAAATTAATAAATTTATTAAACTATTTTGTAACAAATATAACAATATTCTACACAAATAAAGAAATTGTTGATAATCCTCAAAATATAAAAAAAATCTTGATAAGGTCATTTAAACAAAAAAAATATATTTTGAAAATATTTTCTTAAGTGTATTAATATCATTAATGTATAAGCTCTTATAAAAGATAAAAGACAGTTTGGAAAGATGGGTGTTATACTAGTTCATATAACATGGAATATATTTTATTCTAGTATAAATTGTTCGTTGTCTACTGTACTACTAACAATACATGATTAATTTGAGCTTATTACTATAATGCCAATTTTATGAGGTGTTTAGTAGGAGTTTTTCATTTCTATTCTTTTTAGAGCAGTCACAACTCATATTGGTAGGTAGGTGGATTTTTATTACGTTTATCCAAAGATATGATGATTTTAGGAAAGCCTTAAGTTCATCGGCTCATGTGCCTCTTGGAATAACCAGCAATATTTGTCTGAAATCTCAAGCCAAAAGTCAAAAGTGACTCCCTCCATTATCTTTTTGCTTTCACGAATATCTTGCAGTGTCCTATTCAAACCTTTTAATGCTGCTTTGAGAGACATTGTACATTCGTCCCAAACAATTATTTGGCATCTTCTGAGAACTTCTGCCATCCCAGTCCTTTACTGATATTGCATGTAACATTTTCATTTATGGTCAACTTCAATGGGAGCTTAATGCAGCATGGGCTTTCCTGCCTTCAGGCAAAAGAGTTGCTGTGATTCTGGATGAGGCAACTGAAAGTGTAATTTGCTTGTGTTGACAAACTTCTGCCTACAACAGGCTGGTAACAAATGTTTTCTCTCTTCCTCTTGGTGCATCAATGAAAAAGACTCCACCTTCTGATGTTGGACACTGTCAATTATTGCTGCGTATGCTGTTCTTTGGGCTGGTAGCAATTTTGGTTTGTTAACTAAAACTTCTTGGTTAAGGGTATGAATATTGTAAGTGGTCTCACACAGAACTTCACAATTGAAATTGTCATCCTGATTGCATTGAACTTCAGGAAGGCCAAATGATGGAAGCTCTTTTCCTCTCAGGCACAATACTTTGTCTTCAATGGCAATAAGAGCCAAGTTAAAATTGGCATCATTGTAACTAACTTCTATATTGGAATTTTGTAGTTGAGCCTGGTGCTTGAGGTTTTCTGACAGATCTTCTCTGTGACTTTGCCACAGGGCAACTGGATTTGAAGCACCACAAACTTGCAGCAAAACAGCAAACAAACTTCTGAGGTTGGCTGGTGACTGTGAGACTGCAGCTTCTGTCAGAGTGGACTTCCACTGTGCATCGTCTTCATGAAGGACTCGCTTGAAACACACCTCTCTATAGGTGGCACAGAGCTGACCTTGGACAATATGCAAATCCTCAAAGGACGTCGGGCCTCTCACATCATGTAGCAGCATACAAAGGTAAAAGCACTCTTGCTGGCTGGGATGAACAGTATAGACCCTTGCCAAGGCTTCATCTTAAAAAACCCCAAGATGACCATCTACAGGAGTACCTCCTTTTCTCATACTCC